ACTGTTCCCTACAAACTAAGCAGTGAATAGATTTTTTTTTTTTTATGATGACATATCTTGTGTTATTCCAAAACAGGCCTAAAGAAAATGTAAGAAACTGCAATACAAACAGGAGACGCAATCACAGCAAATCACACAAATAACAGAAATCATACAAATAATAAACTTCCTCTAGAAAAAAAATACCTTTTACATGGCAAATGGTTACATAAATAGTAGGTTCTTCCAGTGAAGAATTCCAGATTTCAGTTTCTGCAGCAGCGAGGTCAAATACCTATTTTGCCAAGGAATCGCCACCGCTTTTGACTGCTACCTTATTGGAAACTTTATTTCATATTTCAGGTCCCTTTATCTCTGTGATCCTAAGTGCACGGCTGTCTGAAAGCTCACTGGGCAGACTCATTCTTTTCTTACTAATACACCCTTTGTGTCTGCTAGGTTTATAGATTTCATGCCTATTTGTGCAAGGTTAAGATGGGTTGCTTCAGATTTTATGGAGACGGTCAAGTGAAGTTCCACAGAAGCGACCAGCTGGCCTTAAACGTATAAAGTATACTGTGGCCAATGAATTAAATCTGTCGCTCTCTATCTTATCTTTTGTCTCTTTGCAGCTGAGGCTGTGCTAAGATATGAAAACTTCCATCATCAGCCTCTATTCAAAATGAGTAAGCCTACTATTTCTGTATTTTTAAACAGCTACACTACTTTGTACATCTTAATTGAATAGAAAAAAAAAGATTTCTGGAGAACCTATGATGCTGGATAAATTTAGAAGACTGATAAATATGTTTTCTCTAGTCGTTTAAAATATATATATATATACATAAAACACTAAATCCATGAGAAAAAAAATAATCACAAACTCAAAGTCTAAATTAGAACATTTTTTAAATGTGTCAACAATTCAGTCATACAAAGGATAGGACTTCATATATACATACATTTTGCATTCCTCAGTCAATGCATGTCTCAAGATTACAAAATACTGAGGAATCTTTTTGAATATTTATTGTTCTAATTTTTAATTAAGATTCATTTTATAGTATTATTTTGCTAGCCACTGCAAGCATAAGAACAGTATAATTATATATTTGCTTTTAAGAAACTAGGCTTATGGTATGCTGTACATGGGCAGACTTAGAGATGCTTATAAATCAAAAATAGAATGGAAGCCAATTATAAAGCAAAGGGAATGAAATCTAGTGAACCCCTCATTACTCAAAATTTCCAGGAACATTATCCTGGAAACCCTTCTTTGAGCAGGTCATCTTTGTTCTCTGTAATAGTCCTGTGAGATCCTGAGTGATCGATCAGGAAAAAAGCTCTTGAACTAAAAAAAGTACTTTTTCTTCATCCCAGAAAATTTCTGGAAGCTGTGACTGAGATATAAACAGTTCATAATCAACATTCCTGTTCCTGCTAGAACTCCTCGAGGAGATGTGCCAAAACAATAAGTGAACATAAACATTCTACAGCAAAGTGCATCTCACTGCCAGAGCGGCAGACGCAGCATTTAATGGACTTGAAAATGCCTCAGAGTTGCTGGAGCAAGCTGAGCCCACAACTCCCTGAAACCAGCATATTATCACAGTGACTCATCCCTTCCACACCAAGATAAGAGCCTTCTTTTTAAACACAGATGATGTTGCTGTGGCTATTGCTCACAAGCTACCCGATTTGACTGTCTTTGAAGCTCCAAGTTTCAAACTTCAATGAAAGCTAATTAGAATTTACATTGAGAAGAACAGGGACCTCTAATTCTCAAAAGTTAAATGTTCATATAAATAGTAATAATAATGTAAAAAATATCATTTAAGTTGCTAAATGTTAAAAAGATTAATATACAACTGAGACTGGAATGCCAAAGAATGAAAACGGACAGAAAATTCTAGGTTCAGAGGTGTGCAAGCAACCTTAACTCCACCCCGTACATGTACAACCTATCGGATGGTACTTTCTCCACAGGCCTGTCTCATTGAACACACAATGTACAAACAGCAAGAAAGAAGATGTAACTTTTGTTGACAATGTTAATTCTGGCAATTCAGAACTTCCAAAACACCTGGAATCTGCAACATAATGTCCAAGTGTTTCCTTAAATATATGTGTATGATGGAATATGAAAATTATTTGGTAAAATATTACCAATTTAGGAATATGTTGTTTTGTCTCCTTTCTAGATACACTCATTTCCAAAACTGGAAATATATCAGTTTTGCACTTCAATCTTATAACATACGGTATTGAACTGGATTGCTGTGAGGGGAAAAAAAAAGATTACTTTCTTCAAGTCATCTGCAGGTCACAAGACAAAAATATCAACAAAAAAACCCCTCCAACTATCACACTAGAAGTGCATGAAGGGCTGACAGAATAACATCCCTGAAGGCATGCTAGCTAGTTCACAAACCACATCTCTTAAACGAAGCAATTAGAGTAACAAAGATTCAATGAGACTTTCTTGTGTTTTGTACATTTGAGACATCCCCTGTTTGAATAATATAAATCAGCATTTATAATAACTGTGCAAACAACGCTTAATAAATAACTGCATACCATGCATTCATAAAAATTGTGTGGTTAAAACATTAACTCCAGCTGTGGGGTTCTTCAGAGCTGGCATCCTGGTGAAAATGTGTTGCAATACTTTCCAAATTCACTACTTATTTGCCAAAAAGCATAGGTAATACTGCCAAGCTCTCATAGGTAATATCCCATCACTGTACAAAAGTTAGTCTAGAGAATAGCAAAAAACAATTTTATTGTGATAATTCTCACTTTTCTGTATGGAGCATTTTTGCAACCAATATTCTGAAGTTACATGTCATGACATGAAAAGAAGTTCTATCAAAATTCTATTTTTTTTTCTCCAAGGCACAGTATTATGAGCACAATATAGTGAGCTATGACTAGCTCTCATGAAATATATTTTTTTTCCTTAACATCAAAGCTCTTGCGGTCTTTTTTATGTAAAATATCAATTTTCCTTTTACAACAAACAAATGGTTTTCCAGCCCCTGGAATTCCACAAAAAGCTTTAAAAGGTCATTCAAAAGCCAAGAAATAAATTCAGAAGCCCCAAGGGGAGTGTTTTAAGAAGACACACACATGATTTTTCAATTGATATCATGATTTCAGACACTTAAAAGTGATTTTTGAATAACAGGTACACTGTTGGCTTGTCCCTGGTGGCATGGGAAGTCTGGGGCACTGCAGCTCAGTGAGCTGCTTCCTGTCGACTGACCATGGAAAATGAAAGGGCTTTGAGCCTGCAGTTTGTACCTGTCTCTGTAACAGGTTAATGAGTGCACGAGCTCAGCTGACTGCATGCCGTGGCTCTCTGGAATCCAATGTCTCCTGTCCTCCTCCCCTGTTCTGGAAAGCAGCCTCCAAAAGGTGAAGCTTCCTCTTGTCACACACCTGGCTGAAACTCTGCCCAGGCACTTCTCACGACCACAAACCCAGGAGCACCCTGCACAGCACGCAGACTCAAATATGAGGTTGCTGGGCAAGACAGTAGGCTACACTGGGGGCAAAAACATCCTCTTTGCATGCTTCAGAGGCAGCCAAAACTTACTCTTGCATTATACGGAGATAGACTTTTGATTTTAATGAAAAAATTTGTAAAAAAAAGAATGACTAAATCATGCAGTGTATTCCAATTCCACACGTGGAATTCTTAATCAGTTAAAAAAAAAATAAAAAAAAAGGTAGGGATTGTACTAATTCAGATTATCAGGAAAAGATTTCCTGAAGGAGTAGCTGGGATCAGTGACAGAAATGTAGAAACTTGAAGCTGTCAGTGGCAAACAAGGAGTTGCTAGAGTACAGAGGCACAGGGAGTCCGGACTCTTTCAAACCTTCCAAAACTAGCATCCATAGCCCTCTTTCCTCCCCCTTCCTAGCCTCTCTTCCCTCTCTCTGCAACCATGTAATTTATTGCTGGTGAAAAGTGCCAACCGATGACATCAACAAATTCATTTTCTTCAGAAGAGCTACCAGAAATCTCTGGTGTCTGCTCTGCCCCCAAGCTGGGAGCACATCCAAGAACTGAGAATGTGATTCTTTGTGGGGGCTTTAGGAGAACTTGTATCACAGGGTACAGTTAGGTAAGCTGCAACCATTCTTCTGCCTTGATGACTTTAGGTTGATCTGCTCTATTACAGGGTACTCCTCTTAAATTTTAGTACTAATTTTCATCAGACTCCTGCAGTTGCCCAAAGGACTGCAGCACTGTCTAGGTATTTATTTGTGCTGCTTCTAGTGGCAAGGATCTCCAGGAGCCTCCTGCCTCCAGGTCTTTGTCATGTAACAAACAAATACTGTGACTTTTACCACAGCACATGTAGATTGGGTCATGCCACTTAGAAGCAAGTAGTACAGACTATGAAAGCAAACCTCAACCACAAGGAAATACAAAGATTCTACCAGACTTGCACATTTGAACACCCTCTGAGGTGTGTGACTGCTTTATGCTTTCTAACATAGTATCAGTAAGTGTCAGGCAAGAACTCTGGCAAAAAACTTACCCTGATACAGTCTCATTTGTTTCTTTTTCCACTTACCAAAACCCAAAAGTGATTAAGTTCCATGATAAAATTTACCTTCATTTAGCATTTGCTTATTATCATAGAAAATGAAAGAAAAAAAAAGGTTATGAAGTCTTTGGCTTTGAACATTGAGTTTACCCCATGAATTTACACTTATAAGCCTCACCAGTTTAAAATTTTCAAAATCTAGTCATATAGAACAACCTTGACTTTGACTGGAAAGCTGCCTGCAGGAAGCTGTGAATGGAAGCTGGCTGTAGGAAAGAACAACAAATAACTGTGGAGTTTTGCACATAGTAATGGAATATCATAGAAGCTGTACGTAACTTCATCATAAAATCTCTATTACCATAATTGAGAATCAAATGCCTGTGTAAGCTAAATAAATTAAAGATGACCCTCATTTTAATAGCCAAGGAAAAGTACATGTAATTTTCCAAAGAATATATTAGTTGTTTGGTTTTGTTTTCACATGCAGTAATTATTGATTTTTAAATAGAAAAACTGAAATAACAAGGAAGATCTACTAATGATACAGAGATAGATGGCACAGAGTCCAAAGCAACATGCTGAGGTTGCTTTCACTATCACATACTGCAATTACAAGGTATTTTGATACAGGCATATTGGTAAAGCAGCATATGACTATACCTAGAGCTAATTTAAATAATCTTCAGCTAACCAACAGCAAAGATGGTTTTCTCCCAGACACATCCAGGAGCAATGCCCCTGTTTGGCATTTATGACAGAGAGATGTTTGGTGTAAATGAAGTTAGGAAATCAAGATTATCATAAATCATCTGTATACCTCTTTTTCCTGTACTCGGGTAATTTACCAATTTTCACACAGAATCGATATTTATTGTGCCTAATTTTAGCATGCTATTGGTTTTTTGCTTCAATAAACAAAGATAAAATGTGATCAAGACAAAACTGAAGTCAGCCAACACTTAGTGATTCATACTCCTCTACATGTGTCAGACAGCAGTTTTAAGAAGGAAAAATCATTTTTAAAAATCAATGACCAAAAATCATTGCTAAACTGGGAGATTAAAAAACCCTGTGTTGTTATAACCCCACCTTTAGAACGCAGTTCTAAGGCAAGTTTAAAACCAGAAATGCCAAATCCTGCTATTCCAGAGATCAAGTAACACTATCTATTTCACTTGTCTTGAAGTACTTCTGGTGCCATAAAAGACAAAAGCAAACAAACAAAAATCACTGAAACCAATAGGTAGGATTACCAGCAGGCTTACCTAGTTGGATAAACTGGGGATCGCTTTTCACCCCAGGTCCTGCCCCCGTGCTCGCCGCCACTTCCACGCTGTATCGAATACCAGGAACCAGGGAGGGGATGACCACAGAAAAGGTGGAGCCATCCACTGTCTTGTTTATGTGGTATCGACTTTCATTGCCCAGACACCAAACCTGCAGGGAAGCGAGGGCACGATATGCATAAATCTTCAAAACGCAACACCGGAGGAGAAGCGGCAGGCAGGACGCGACATTCCTTTCTGCTGCATAAAGAAATTCAGTTTGTCACCACTCCACCCGCACTAACACCGGCACTCATGGATTGCTGTCCTAGGCACCGCGTGAACACTGAAGAGGTACTTCTTGTTCCAAAGCGCAGCTTCAGCTACTAAAAATATTTGATGGGTTTATCATAATCAGTTCACAGTTCAACCAGTGACATCAGTGTTAATAAAACTAAAAGCATTAGTAACATGTAACAAATAAAGGAAGCCCCGGAGCCAAGAATCATTCACATAAAAACCAAAGAGCATGCAGTTAAATGAATTTGCAATTCTCTTTTTCAGGAAACATTTGTCAAGCAAGGATTTCTTCATTCCAGTGCAAGGGCAAGTCTTTCATCAGGTGATGTCACAGGAGAACTGATATCATGTTGGAATCCAAACGTTTTCTTCTTTTAAGATGGCAGCAACAGGCAAGGATCAAATAATATGCCATTTTCTATTGAGAGACAACAGCCTGCTATTAGCTCTCATATTTTGGTCAAGATCTGGACACAGGTCTAACGACTTCCATTCACCACTTTATAAATTACATCAGTAATATTAAACAATCACAAGAAATAATACAATAAGATACATTTATCACTTTAGGCCTGCACCACTGATGTGGCAAATGCTTTTAAGAGTAAGGCTGAACTCCCCACTGCTCTGAAAGGTAAAGTGGCAGCCAATCTAGATCTGCTAAAAAATTGATGAAGCAGTCTTTATTACATTTTTATTCCCTTTCCATAAACATATTGCTCTACAATGAATATTCATCCAGAAAGTTAAATTAGTTCAATTCATTAGTTTATCTGTAAAGAAGCAAACTTGCCCAAGAACAGCAGCATATATGAACCTGTACTGACAGTACACAGGAGGGATGATGTTGTTTTTGACATATGGAGCTCCTAAAAGATTTAGTACCCAGGCAGCAACTCGTAATCTCTTGTGCAAGTCTGCTGCTGTCGAGATTGCCAGGTGAGTGAGCTGGAGTTTCACATGTGGAACAATTGCTACGTCTCTTTCTGTAGAACCCTCCTCCATCTGGACAGAGGCCATTTTGTTCAACTTCAGGACATTGTAAGACCCTTTTTCTTTCTCTGGATACCAAGGACTGAAACAAGGCTAGTGGGACACTGAGGAATTGAAATGTACTTTAAGCTCCTTTGAGAAAGAATCCCAGTGCAGCATATACATAACTGTTGCTGCAGAGCAGGTGAGGGCACACACAGGGAAGAGAATCGCCTTTTTATATCCTGACACTACGTAGAGATTGTTTCAGTCAGTAGTAGCAGTATAAGTAATATTATTAGCATTACTCTTAAATCCTAAAGGCTGGTCCCAAAAATGCATTAAGTAAATGAGAAGTCAATAAAGTGAAGTAGAAAAGATTTAAATTTACTTTTTCACTTATGTCATTTCCACAGAAATTTTTAGTGCTACGCTGTAGCATGGCGTGGGTACAAACAATAACACCGACTCATTATGTCCTTGTAACTATGCGCTACAAATTCATAAACATGGTCTGTTCTTATGAGCTCAGATACACAAAGAAATTCACAAAACAATAATATTAAACATCAGGTTGTTCAGTACCTTCTGTACAGTAGTTGATGGTATACCTAAAATAAGCTAGTGAAAATGAACTATTAGAGTGTTACGAAGGAAGGAGGAATTCATAAATAGACACAAAAGCACAGAAAGAATTAGGATAATAAGAGCATTTCTAACTTCACTCAAGGGAGGAACGACTTCTGCTCTGGTTTGAATTTCTGGCTTTTCATGTGTGCTTAATGATACTTCTTCAATTAAGATGGTATCCTCCTTCCTATTTATTTTATCCTTTAAATACCATAGGTACACTCTTGCCTTAGAACCGGGCTGATGAGAAAACAAAGAATGCCCCCACATACGTGCACCTTTATTTTCTGATATAAGACACAGGCAACAGAAAAATGAAGAGGAAAGGAAAAAAAAAATGTTACAAGATTTCTACCTGTTTCGTGTTATTAGTTCTTAATCTTAAATCACTGGTTCTACATTTACTTAGTTTTTTGACAAAATATTAGTAACATATAGCAATTATATATATATTCATTGTGTCTGTTTTCTGTCCATGATAAAATGCACAAAGGAAAATAATGGCATCTACACAATACATGCAGATGTGAAATGTGCCAGTGTGCCATCTACTGCTACACAAGTACTACAAGATGCTCGCTCCTACACCTGGTGTTGTATTACCTCTCAGTGCTAGGAGTTTTATTAGGTATTATATCCACTCAGAAATGTGAATTTCCTGACTTTTATTGTTTTGTCCTTACAACCCTAACATTCCTCTGATGCAGTTTCTTGATGGAAATAATTTCATCTCTTCAGCTCAAGGTCCGTCTTTAAATAAAATAACTTTGCAAGTATGTTTTTTCCAATTACATTATATATCTGAAACTAAGCCATAAACTGATTTTTTTTTTTTTTTACCAATTGGCCAGGTTCTGAAAGGCTTTTTATTATTCTAAACTGACCATGAAGCTTAGTGATCTCTTTCCTTTCCCATTTCTACTAAGAAAAAAAAAAAAATAGCAGAATGAGTTTTGATGGCTAGGAATATATGTCCATAGTGTTTTTACCTTGAAAATAGTCAAGACATTACCACTTGAAATATTTTCTCAGTAAGGAGCATTTGCAGGAGACTGAAACCAAAGATCCTGCCTCTCCATGGCTACAAAGCTTGCTTGATATCCACAACTAGACATCCAAAACGTCTGTAGCTTGATTAGGAAAAATAAGCTTCATTAACTTTGCGATGCAAGGTATCACAAAATAATTTGAACTGAAAATGAATACAGCATATGTTGCTAAATGAACATCAAATAAATATTTTAGAGTGTACTTAAGATTTGTTAAAAATTGAACAGTACAATGAGTTCTGTGTTTGTGTGAAAGAAAAGGAAAATTTCTATATACTAAATACATTTCTAATTATACAAGCACACTCTTTGCCGGAAAGTTTTTCAATTTGTTTTAACTACCTAGTTACACAGAATTTACTCAGATCTTAATACTGCTAATTATTATTGCTGAGCCTTTCAACTCATTAAGCCTGTTGATATTTACTGCCTCCACCAATGTCTTTGAGACACAAAATGGTTCTCAAACAGGTATGGTTCCCTCTCTACTTGTGGGTGCATTTCTTAAGATAAGGCAAGAAGGTATTTGTTTTAATTAAGAGTGATGACTCCTTGATTTACGGGGACTGTTTTAATTGCCTCCTACCATCTAGACAGAATTATTAAGTATGGAGTTTGATTAAAGAAGTGATTTTCGACCTCATTTGCTCCGACCAACCAGTAGATGGAGCCAAGCATCCACGAACAATCTAACCTGGCCCTACCTGGCCAATCCCCCCTCCCTGCTCTACCAGGAGATCAAGGCATGCCAGCAGTACCTTATATTCTTGAACCATCCCATTCTGGTTGTCCTCGGGGGGTGGCTGCCAGGTGACCACAATTGCCGTCCCGTTCCCATCATTCTTGGTGACTGAAACACTCTGAGGTGGAGCACTAGGAGCTGTTTTTTTGGAAATTAAGGGTTGAAAAGTTAAATTTGTGACATGCAGAAGAGAGCTTATTTAAAGAGGAGGGTGCGTTTTGGGCTACAGAAATTCATTCCTTTATGCCCCTCCCTTCACTGAGGGCCATTTTTGCCCACAAGAAAAAAAAGATACAGAAGAAAGTGATGTGAACCTGCAGCCAGCCTCCTGGGTCCTGCTACAGTCTTGCTATGCAGGCCAGAAGTCACTCGTCACCAGATTCTCCAAACTCAGATACCCACAAGCTAAATGCCACAGTCCTGAGCACTGAATTTCTCACTGGTGTCACATCATCTCACTCAGGATCAACAGTTTTGGAAAATAAAGTCTATAAATTGACCCCAACAGAACGTTAAACCCCACTTCCTCTAGTATGTTAATAATAATGAGTAACACAAAACATTAAAATCAGGACAGGCAATGATATAATTGTAATAATAATAATAATCATCTACATTTTGAATTTTAAATAGTCCGAAAAACGGGATGCTTAGCTAATATTTAGGATGGGTGCAGTTAAGTACACCTTTTGAACCACTCACAGCAATAAACTTGAGTTACACGGCATTTATACTGGGGAGGAAGGAGAGAAAGGAAAGGGCTGCACATCCCAAGAGAGGCACCAAAATTCCTATTCAGAGACACTGGCCCTCTTGCATACTCATTATGCCTGAGCAGCAACAAAAGGAAGAGCTTCATGAACCTTCTCTTTTTTGCACATGTATGAGATGGAAATATATAATTTAGTCCACTATATCTGTTGCCCTCATTCATCTTTTCATTTTGTCTTACTGATTGATCCAGGTATAAAAGCCTTCAAAAAATGTGGTGGTTTCCATTCCCTCAGCTATCGTGCTTTGATGATTTCTGCAGTGTCTGCTATCTACTCAAGATAGTGATTAGCAAGTGCTTGAATCTGACAGAAGTCACTTGTGACCAGACCATGAACTCAGCAGGGAGGAGCACACACTGCAGTGAAGATAAAAAGCACATTTCCCATTGTGTGTTACAGGGGATTTTTGCACATCCCTCTCTCTCTCTGTCTCTCGCCCGTGGTTCTGAATATTTACTTCTGTGCCACCAAACAATTCACATAATGATCAGTCCAGCACAGCCTCCTCTGCCGCAGATTGCTGTTCTCAGACAGCACGCACTTCAAACAAAATCAAATAACGAACATATCAGAGGAAAGCGGGCCAGACTACAACTTCAAAAAGGAAAGATGAAGACAGTCTGGCTTCTACTTGCCTTCTTCCAGAGTCTTTGCAAATTTCACTTCGCTATCTGCTCCCTGAAACTCATTAAAAAAAGGGCGGGCCTTGATTTCATAGTTTACACCTTTCTTCAGCTCGGGAATGATAACGCTGTTTTTGGTTGGAGTCCTCACTTCAAAGATTAACCACTCTGACTCTCCATAGGACGCTGGCGTCGGTCGGTACAGGATTTTGTATCCTTGAATGTACTGGGATTGCTGGTCCACCTGGCGAGACAGCAGAACACACGACACACCCTGTAACACACAGGAACCCGGAATGTCGCCCGTGACGCTACACACGCTCCTTGCACCATCCATTCATTCTGTTCAGAGGGAACAACAGCGCCAAAGCCGACAAAGGCTCCTGGCATCACAGGCAGTTACAGGCCTCATTCCGAAGTGTGCCTGATGCTGGTGAACTGTGCTGGTTTCTGTGGGTTTAGGAAGGCACTGAAGGGGGATAACGGAGTTGTACAATATGCCCCAGCTCTGTGAAATGAGCAGCCTTTGCTTCCGTGGAGAGACGAAGCTCAGCACAGGCCGGGTTCTGCCACCCGGATGTGCTTGGCAGGGGACACATCGGGACAAGGTGGGGAGGACCTGCAGCCTCACAGCTCGGGGTGATTAATACTCAGATCAAAGAGAGACCCTGCCAACTCTCCCGAGCTGTGGAAGCCTCCCAAACTCCACGAAATGAGCTCTGCTTCCTGCCTGCTTCCTTCTGGAGGAAGGGCAGCCAGCTGGCACTATCTCCATTGCTGTGATTAGGCTGGGCTCTGTCAGAGGGCAGATCTGTCCAAGCACTTCCTCCATGTCCACCCACTCAGTGGGAGCCTCCTCTGCTGGAGGGAAAGGGCTATTTCGAGAGGGCTCTGAAGAGGCTCATAAAACTCAGTATGGTAACACAACTGAGACTTAGAAAAGCGGATCAAAATGATACTTGGTGGTCCACAGTGCTCTTTAGACCGAGGTGATTTTATATCACTTATAGGGAGAAGAGATCTTAACATAAACGAGGGTGGGATTCAAAGTGTTTGGCTACAGTTGAAAAAGAAAGCTATCTTACAGGAGTGAAATCTCATGAAGCATTTGCTGTCTTTTAACTACTGGTTTCAATTTCTGGTAAATAAGGAAGTCCAGTAATTATAACAAAATTTTTCAAAGTGTATCAGGTTTTCCCTATTTTAAAAAATTTCATACGGTGATACAAGAAAACTGTTTGCTTGCAATTTTACTCCAAAAAGCAACACATTTTATTTTTAATAATTACGTAAAGAATGCGTTTGCTAGCTGAAACTGAAGTAATGCTTATTTTTGAAATTGCAGAGAAGCTACAGGCAACCCACGAGACTGACAAAAATTGCGTGTCTGGAGAAGTTTGTTCTGTAAGAAAAGGTCAAATAAGATCGTGCTAGGAACCTCAAAGATGTTCTAACATTTCTTAGTTAAAACAGGCGATTGCCTGCTGCGGGTGGCTGTGCTGCAGGTGACAGTGTAACTACTGTGCAACATAAGCAACAGCTCCGAGGAGCCTGGTCATGGACCAGCACTCCACTGGGCTAGGGCTCTTCTACAAAGTCAAAATGCCTTTTGTTCCCATTCAAAATGTTCTGCCATGGCATAGCAGGGGCTAAGCCCTGTGCTCTCTGCCAGTATATTGAATATGTTCAGACGAAGTCCTAAAAAGACCTCACATCCTACTCCCTTTAGATTTATTCCTGTACCTGGTGTAATTCTCCTCCTTTTCTATTTAATTCTGCATTCGATTTTTCAACTGCTCTTCTCTGAATTGCATTTTCTTATCTCATTGTTTGGTACTTGCATTTTCCCATGCTGTTCTTTCTCTTAATTTCTACCTCTTGACTGCCAAATGTCTCCACAGTAAGCCATTTCTAATCCTTTCTCTCATTGAGGCTTCAGCCTTGTAAGCCTGCTTGAATCTTTTTCACACAGGTTCCCATTCCCTTTGCTTCGGGACTTCAGTATTGTTTCCTCACTCTCTCATTTCCTCTGCTACATCCTCCATGCAGCCAACCTCCTGCTTCCTCTTGACACAACAATGTCAACAGAACATCTGAAAGGTGCTGGCCTTTCATCTCTTCTCCCTGTACTGTGCACTCTCCCATGGCACTGTGAGAAAGGATAGGTTCAGATGAGGCTATATGGGTTTGGGTGTGTTTCTCAGTATCTATGTAGGATGAGGTAACACTTTCAAACAGAATTATGCAGTACACTGGTGAGTGACAGACAGGGAAGTGCCCGTGTTCCCTCATTAGGGGACCGATACACTTCCTACTGAAAGCAGCGCAAAAACTTCAAATGATATGACTTTGATCAGTCCTTTAGCTTCCAGAGGAGGACTCTGAAACTCTCACCATATTGTAAACAGCAGTCTCTACAGAGACATAAAATGGTGCAAATGGGACAGAATTTAATGAGGTAGGAAAGTGAAGCCCAAGTAGCACTCAGTCCAGAGAAAAACATTTTGCAAGCATACAAACTACACAGCTTCTTAAAGTGTGGCTCCAGCACAGTCAAACGGTGTGATTCAGCAGAGCATGTCACCATCCCCACGAGGCACATTTATACTTACAGTCCAGTGAACTTCAATTGAGGAAGAAGAAAGGATAGTAGGGTTGTGCAGATGTAGGACCACATCACCTAGTTCTCTCTGGACCTGCTTGTGATCCACACCTTGACTTGTTGGTGGAACATCTGTAATAATTCAAGATTCCATTCTCACAAGTATTATGATTGTAAAAATAAGTATATGTAAATATGAATGAATATATCATAAAGTATACGATCTTATCACAAATAAAGTTTACCCAAAGTACCTCTCAGTTACGTAGGAAAAAACTACATGAAGTATTTTCCTGAGCAAATTATCCATGTAGAACCAAATCATTGCAGTGTACTTTCTTCAACAGAGATAAACAGGAGGAAAATGCTGCATAAAAAAACCCAGAACACCACGCCCAGGGATGTCTTTGTTAAATGACTACAGCAGCATCTCCCTATTATTTCCTGATGGGAGGAGAAAATGTTCTATAACACACTAAAGTCCAAGAGACTAGGAAGCCTATGAAGGATAGCAAATCCAGAAGCTGTACCTTCAGAAATTCATGGGCAAACTTACTGGTTTTAATTACAAAATATATGTAACAACTGAAGGAAACAAAAATGAGTCATGTGGCTGCAGCTTCTCTGATGGCAAGTGACTTGTGTAAACAGGAGGCAGAGCACAGCTGAGTGCTGTCTGGCTCGTCTTACTTTTGCTCTATCTTATTGTTCAGACACATGAAGGGACAAATTCCTCTTGAACTACGCAGCGGTACAATGGAAACACAGTTTCTGAATGCAGAGCTCTTGAAATGCATATTTAGCTGAAATGGAATGACTGACAGACTATAAAAATTATAGGGCAATTGCTAATAGAGTGTCTAAAACATACATGTACTATGGACAGCAGTGTAACATAGTTTCTGTATTGATTTCATAATATCTCTTTGATCACTTCATTTTAAGCAAACACCATGCTGACTATGACTAAAAATCAGAGACTGGGAAATTAATATAAAGTACTTACAGTGATTTCCTTCTTTCCTTTTTTTTTAATTTTTTTTTTTATTATTATTTATTAAAAAAAACCCACAACATCTTATTCCAGATACAGAGTAATGCATTACACAAACTTTGTTCCAGCCTACTACTTCCCTTCCTGCCTCTAGTGATAAAGCAAGATCAGGAATCTTCAAGGGTTCTGTTCTCTAAAGACCTTGGAAATCTGCATACCTTACGCTTACAAGAAGTGCCAAAGAGAGAGTAAAGAGAAATATATATTTCTGTACAACTATTGCTACTGTAATAAGTCACTGTAGATATGTAAATTACCTTGGAAGTTGAGATTTGGATAGCACAGTTGATGCTGATAGACAGGACACTTAGAAAATGCAAGTGCAACAGTTGTAAAGCATACTTTTTGAATGGTTGTCATAGTCTCAGTTTACTAGCTTTTGGTCTTGTCTAAATAATAAGAAAACTATTTTAAGGCTGCATTAGGACAAGGCATGAGGATAATTTTCTTTCCAGACATACAGTTCCCATATGGGAGTACAAAGCCTATGTAACTTTGAGCTTTTATCATACAGTTTCCTCAACATATTTACAAGAAGATGGTATTTCTTCAAAGTTAAAGCAGCAAACTGAGGTTAGCATGTAGCCAGTGGGTGGCAAATACAGATTCTTAGGAACACTGATAACAACAAATCAACAAAGCCAAAAAACCCTCCACTGAGTCACTGCTGTAGCTACATATAGTATGTTCCACCTAACAGACCACTTAGCAGAGTATTTCCCCTCTTTCAAAGTTTGAAAGCATCAAAGATAGAAACTTGTTTGGAGAGTTGCCCAAGTATCACCCTGCTTAGAATGTAACAGGAAAGTCAGTGGAATAACTAGTCCTATGTTTGCTAGTCATAAAAGATGAGTCATCAACAATACGAATCAAACAACATGTGTGTTTTCTTTTTTTGGCTCCAGGCCCCCAAGACAGGGACTGCCAGTGAGAACACCTAAGCATGTCATTGCTAATGCTGGTAATATGTAAAGATGAAGGTAGATTAGGTTCGTCTGGACATGCATATAGGGCAAGACTATACCACCCTCTAGACAAAAGTGAACTGGGAAATTTTTGAGCTTAGCTAGACCACAACTTACACAAAAGTGAAATGGTATTGGAACAAGAGTAGAACTGCTTTGAAGAACTTGACACTTGATTCTATTTTTCACTACTGATGTAAATTTTATCTATTGGTTGTTATTTTCACTCGTGCTTTGTGTGGTTCTCGTGTCTTCAGCTCTACTAGATGCCCAGAGGACAGCAAAGCTTTTCCATCCATGCCATTATAAACCACTCAGCTGTGTTGAGTGAACAGAACACTGCCTCATCCGCTGTTTATCCGAGTCAGGTCACTGACCAGTTCATTGGGACATTCAGAACTGATACCTCACCTCACCTCACCTGCAGGAATTAAAGCACACTGCATGAAACAGGGACTTGTGCAGAACACTGCTGCCTGCCTGCATAACAACCCATGTTGCCCTATTCCCAGGAATACGGAACTCACTGAAAGGTTACTAAATCTCTCCTTGGTAACAGACTTAGGAATCCCAAACCCCCTATTTTCCATGTGGCCATGACTCTCCTGTTTATATGTATCCATTGAAATTGTCACCTATCAGGAGAAATGCATAGTAACAAAGGAAAATGTCCACTCCACAGGGAGGATGAGAGAGACTTGTTTTCAGCCCAACTTGAGAAAAAATGAGAAGTCAATGGAAAATGCTTTGTTTCCTTTAAGGAGCTTCCTTTCAAAAACAAGCATGTACTTACTTATGAAAACAATGAAACAAACATAGGACACAGTCACTCTTAACAAGCCAATAGGTCAATTTCTCCAGTAAGTAGGACTCCTTCCTCCATTACTGCCCAGTCGTTTCTTGCACTTGGCTATCTACAAGCATTGTCTCTCTTCCCTACTATTTAATTTTCAATAACTGAACTACTGAAAGACTTTTAATATTGCCAAAACCTCTTCTTTACTGGCTTATGATGCCCATTTCCTTCTCTCTTTCCTAAGGCAGTAGAAACCAACTCAGATTATGTGCTGTTTCTCTCTCTGTCTCAGCCTTAAGCCTCATTTGATTCACTGTATCTGAGGATTTGCATGATAAAGATCAGAGATTACTTTCGTTGCTAATGAGCTACTCTGCAAGATGTAACTATCTTTGGAAAGAGATACTAGAGTTCCCTTCGGCAATGCAATATGCTGTCTAAGCAGCTTTCAGAATCTATCTTACAGAGAACTGCAAGTTTAAACACTGTTTTTTATTCTCTAGTATATATTATAGCCAGAATAGATGGTTGCAAGCTACCAGAATTCCTGCACCTGGCATTGCTCAGTCAAATTATGACCGTCACAGCAGACATCTACAATGTTCAGTATCAGAAGCTTACCTTGAGTTTTCACTGGATCAGATATTTGGCTTGGGTCACTTAGTCCATATGCATTAGCTGCTCTCACAAGGAACAGATAAATTGCGTTAGGTTTTAGCCCTTTAACTGCATAACTCTCTGTTTTCACATTTTCAGCTACAGTCTGCCAGCTGCTCCCAGATGCATGGCTGAGGATGAAACACACCACAGCAGGTTAGCATGTGCTTCTTGATCAACATACTACACGCAAACGTTAAGTACAGCAAGATCACTCGAGACTCGTATACCTGAAGGCCTCAATTACGTAAGAAGTTGGTGTTGCACCTGAATTCAAATTAGGTTGCCATGACAACGTTACTGTATTTCTGCTGACATCCGTAACCTCAGGTTTTGATGGAGCACTAGGAATGAGGTTTGGGTCAGTGGGTCTTGGTGGCTGCACCGGGACTCCAAACTCTAACAAAGGAGAGAGAAATGCTGAGTATAGACAGGAAGCAATTGTAAGCTAATTGTTGTTCGTATCTGCACTGGCAATTTATGACGGAACCAGGTAACTTCTGATTTCAATTTCTGATTTTCCTTTATGTATTTTCTCCACAGAAAGAAACCCTAATTGATTTACCTTGGACCTCTATGTATGCACTCCAGGTAGCTTCGCCACTTGGGGTTGAAGCAATGCAGGTGTACCGACCAGTGTCGCCCAGCTGAGTGGGAAAAGAAAAGAACAAATATTTGAAACAATCAGGCACTCAGTGGGCTAGAAAAGTAATTACAGCTCTCTGTGTGCCCCCATGAATATGGATAAACATATTAGGCTGAAAAAATTTTGAACCAGAAACTTCTTCCATTAGAAGTTATGGTTTTGTGTGCTGCAAAATGAAAATGGATACTTACTTCTGAGCATTCGTTAAAGAACTGAAAAACTGCATATTTTAATTTAATGTCATCTATTCTCTAATGAATGAGCTGAAGCCAACCGTTGTCCAAGGTTCTAACAAATAAATTGAGAAGAAAACCAGGTGACAAGACCCCATGCAACCACCAACCTTCTGCCTAGATAATGCCTGTGGATTTGTCTGGACTGCAGCACTGGAGAGCATGTCATCCTTAAAACAGAGCTTAAATATTGCACAGAGCCTTGTACATATGGGGTTCTGTGTATTTGTATAAACTTCACTCTACAGCAGACCCAAAAAGAATTCTCCATACGCTACTCTCATCCAGTTCTGAACGTTGGATTACTTGTCCCTATGTGACTTAACAACATTTCAAGACTTCTTTTTTTTTTTTTTTTTCCCCAAATTATATTCTATCCATGTAATGTCCCAGCCTCAACAGATGAGCAGAACAGAAGCTCTCAAAAATCAGAGGTTCAAACTGTAAGCAAGTGTAACCTGTAGTTGGTAACAATCAACTCTAGGGAGCATAGTAAAGTGATGGATTCAGTCTGACTTTGAAAACATTACATTTCAAACCACAGAAAATACAACAGAGAATAGTCAGAATGCTAAAACTTAACAACATCTTCAAACATTTTACAGTGTGCGAGGCATGACCAGCAATACTGACCAGGTACTTGCTGTAACTCCCTAAGGAAGCCAGGTATTTAATGGGTGGCTAGCCATTTTTAAGCTAGGTTTACACTGTCAAATGAGTATGTTTAAACTCAAAATCTGTTTTGAAAAATCTTTGTCCATGGCTCTATTACTACCGTATGCTAAACAAAAGTCTTCTTTATGAACATTTGAAGTACTTAGATCATTTTGATCTATTAGTGCTAAAGCCCAAATACTTTAAGGATTCGTCTTGCTGAAATAAAAGTTTTGCCTTCTCCTTCATGTTTTCAGTACCAAATAATTCCCTTAATTAATACCTCTTAAAAGATTTTTCCTTGTGAAATCTGAAATAATATGCCCTAGGCAGAGTAAGCCAAGGTGTTAGGCATAAAGAATGAACTACGTGAAAGCATGAAGTATCAAATACTTTAACACATGCATTAAATATCTCATCAATTCTAATAGCAGGATTAACTACATGAAAAGTGCCTTCAGGTAAAAAACAAAGTGAAACAAACAAGAAACCCCATTTGCAAGTTCAGGCTACCTTGGCATATCGGATCTGCAGTGCTCCTGTGTCCAACTGCTTGATGCGGGAGTCCTGGGTAGAAATGAGGATCCCATCCTTCCTCCAGAGGATAGTGGGCATTAAAGTGCCCGTGGCCACACAGTTCAGGACTAAAGTACCATCTACGGCGACCGTCTGGTTCACAGGACCCTGCCGGATGACAGGGGGAGGTCGGTCTGCAATCACTGCCGGAAGAAACGACAGGAAAGAGGTTTCTGCAACAGGAAACAATTTTCTAATCATCTCAGCAACAGCAGTTGCTTGAGGCTTTGAAACAAACTAAAGACAATTACAAAAATTATTAAAGTTGGAGGCGTGCATTATTCAAGGCAGGCTGTGTTATCGTGATGCACAAGTACAGCATTGTAAAATGATACACAACACAGTATTTTCAGAAAGTGAAGAGGCATTACCTAGTGGTATCTGATAGGCATTCTCTAATTCCAATGTCTTTATGAAGTGATAATGGAATGAGAAAGGACTTCTCAAAATCTTTGTCAGGGCACAGATTTCACTTTGTTCATCTTCTACCACAGAGCGGGCCTGCGTAATAGAATTCATACTTTCTGCACTCAAAGGCAGAGCAGGCAGGAGATGCCTGTAACCAAGTATATACTTCTTAAAAATAATGTATCGTGTACCATCAGCTCATCTTGGTGCTGTTTCCTAATTGGGAGATGCCAGCAGGAGGGTGAAGTAAACACAAAACTGATGAATAGGACTATATTAGAAGTTTTCAACTAAGAAATATTTTTTCCCATAGCTTATGACTTTTAGTTCTATGATGACTTAATCTGACAATATGACTTCAAAGTCAAAAAGCAAATCCCACAGTGTGTTTGCATCAGTTGCAAAGCATCTTTCATACAATGACAATTAAATCTTATTGATGGGATTTTTAATAACTGTGCACAGAAAGGTATAAAGCAGTCTTGTTATTCACAGAAAAAATAATGGTTGTCTACATGGGGTTTGTCTTCCATTATCTATTGAATAATCAAAACTAGTGGTAAAAACTATCTTATTGTGTTTCAGTGACATCCTCTACCTGTACCATCCAACATGACATGGACTGATGACCTGAAAATAGCCACAACTTTAAATGACATAAATCTATTCAGCAGTGTCATGGAGGCTCATGTACCTTAAAAACTGGTTTGGTAGCTGAAACATAAACCTGAAGTTCTCATAATTTGTGCACATCAGGTATCTCTAAATTACTTTTCAACAACAGACAGGGTGTTAGTACTGCTTTTTTTGGCAAAATTCCAACTCGCATAATTTCATTTGCATGTTCAAATGACAGTGAATTTTCCACTGCTTAATTTATCCTTTACTTCTTGTCACAACCTGCTGCCATGCACTCCAACACACCATGAGGCCATTACTATCTTTCTCTGCAAAGATAGCCACAATAAGCTCACTTATAGTTTGTGTTTGACTTGGACAAGTTTGTAAAGAGCTTTGCACTTGGCAATGTTAAGATGCTGACCTATCTGTGCTCTACAGGAGAAATGCCACCGAAATCCATGGCTATGTTAAGAACCACTGAAGTTGATGGCAACTGTTATTATCTATAGGAATACAGGGGTAGTACTTCTTATACCCCACCTTCACTTTTCTAAAAGTACAAAAACAATACTATCCCAAGACATCATACAAAACAATCACTCATCAGATCAATCCAGAGCATATAGTCACAGTAAAGGAAATAAATACACATCAATTCACTTGTTTTTTTTTCCATGTTCAGATGGCGTAGGTCATTAGCAGAAAATCTCTCAATTTTATTTTATAAATTTTATTTCTCACCTTGCTATGGCCTTCTCCCCAGTGAAAAATGGATAAAAGTGGATTAAGAAATGTGGCTTACCAGTTGTGAGAAGCCAGAAAGGATGCAGTCCTATTCCTCCAAACTATCTCAAGTTGCTCGGTGTAAACAATGTTATTCTGCAGGTTTTTTCTTCTTAATATCTAGTCTAAATCTACCTCTTTTCTTTAAAACCATTGCATTTGGCCTTGTTGAATCACATGAGGTTCACACAAGTCCAACTCTCAAGCCTGTCCAGGTCTCTCTGGATGGCATCCCACCCCTCAGGCATGTCAGCTGCACCACTCAGCTTGTTGTCATCTGTAGACTTGCTGAGGATGCATTTGATCTCACTGTCTGAAGATACTGAACAGCACTGGTCCCAGTATTGACCCCTGAGGGACACCACTTGTCATCAACCTCCATCTGGACATCAAGTCTTTGACCATTACCCTCTAGATGTGACCATCCAATCAGTTCTTTATTCACTGAACAGTGCACCCATCAAATCCATATCTTTTCATTCTAGAGAGAAGGATGTTGTGAGGGCCTGTGCCAAAGGCTATACAGAAGTCCAGATAGATGACATTCCATCTTCCAATAACAGGGATAAAGAGCTAGGCAGCAAGCAATCTGGAAGTAAACTAAAACTACTGGGGGAAGCTAAAAAAGAACTAGATAAATTAACCGATCTGACTAAAATCCATAAACTGAAGTATAACTGGTAAATACATAATGGAAATACAGTGTCACACAATATCCAAAATTTCAAACTCCTTACTTAGGTGGCCTAAATAGGATTTTTGTGTTCAAAGACATGCAATTCACATCAGTGCAAAGCAGATTACAAAGTAAGTTTCACAGTGTCCTACTGCTGTCTTCATATGAAAATAAAAATTTGGAAATGATAAAAAAGGTATCATTACCATCAGTAACTTCCAAGTAGGCTTTTGTAATGATACTTCCTGCAACATTTAGAGTCTGGCAGATATAGTACCCAACATCAGACCTCTGGACATTGGTGATAGTGAGGTCTCCTGTCTGGGAGACTGAAAACCGGCTGGATGACTGAGGAGGCTGGTATGAGAAAAGCAGATTCTACAAAATGTATAGGAAAGAAAGTGAGAAAAAAAAGAGTTAAATTCAAACATCAATAATTTTAAGATATCTAAACAAATTCGTCTTATTCATGTTTTATATAAAACATTCTGCTCTTTGTCTCTTAAATATGTCTATACCACAATGTGAATAGCTTTTATAGAATTTTTTTTTTGTGATAAATAGGTGCAGATATGCCCATATAATTGCATAAGTCTTTTTGGATTGCTCTAACACCCTCTGTGGTCAATGCTGGGCTTAAAACAAAGTTTAACAGGCACTAGTGAAGATGGGGTATGTACAGATACCATAATGGTGAAAGCAACCGTGGTGAACATAAGTAATTTGCTTTAACATCCTTTTTTAGAACTCACTCCAGAGCATTCTATTTATTTCATTTAAATGCCGATGTTGGCTTACTTATTTGTATTTTAACTTTCATGTTCCTAAGAATGGAGCAGTTTTTTAAGAAGAGATGCCGTTTAGGTCTTTCTAATCATAGTGTTTGTGTTTTATAAAGAGTTTTATAATATAGAATTAAATCCTATGCCAGTTTCTACTTAGATAGTTTTGGTATGAAGTACCAGTATTTCCCAACTGTGGTCAAAAATCAGAACTGTAATCAAAATAATGCAAGTCCTTTATACTAAATACTGATTCCAAATTTCTACCTCTCACTGAACAATTTGTGAATAAGAATACTTTAACGTCACAATGACTATTTTTTATCTCCCTTTCTTGCCCAGCTACATCTTGCTTTTCCAACAATCATCCAAAGGAACAGGACACAATATCCTCTACTTCATTGTTAGCATACTTTATTCAATGACATCCTCTTCCTGATCTCTCAATCATCAGAAGTGGTCATCACTCAGTAGAGTCAAAAATGAGCCAGAAAAATTATGTACTAGATAACAGTTGGCAAAAAAAAAAAAAAAATTAAAAATCCAGGTCATACAAAAATACAAACATAATATCCTGGTATATTTATACCGTTGAAGATTATAATCTAAATTTAGTTAGCAGTCTAGTCATACTGGGGTATTTAGACAGAAATGTTGCAAATGGAGTAAAGATGCCAACCTTTAAGTATTCTCAATTTCCCTGGCCTATTGTTTTGCAACACAAAGAACCCTGTCATATGTTATTGTGCTATTCATTCACAGGAAAACCAGAATCCCATATTCCTTCTTTCCTTCCAATAAAGAATACTTTGTGTCACATCCCTCCTTCAAAAGATGACTGAAAGAAAACTGTGATTCTCTTGCTGTGGTATATATTGTGTTTTACCCACTGGCTTTCAAGATCCTTTACAAAGAAGCTGAAAATACTTCCCCCCCTATTCAAATAAGGAAACTGGGAGAAAAAGTAACTTATTCAGGTATGACCTGTCAGCCAGCTGAGTGGGAAAGTATATCTTGTTAATGCAAAACTAGAGTCCTGCTCCTTCAGTGATGCAGGTCCATGGAGCAAATGGTTTAGTTTGCCAGACAAACACAGACACATGGCAAACTAATAGCTGCACCAAACTTTCTAAAAATTTCGGAGCATGTGGTAGTTTAAACTTCAGCATTAGTCATCTCTTCACCTCTTTAAAATTCTCCCTGTTCAGTGAAAAGTGTTTCATAGTAGTAAAGCATGGAATGTTTCTAGTTGTTTCACAGATTTATTTCTACATTCATGGAGAAAATGGGAGCTAGAGGAAAAGATACCCTTTCTAGTAAGGCTGACATCACCTAGCATGCATGTGACTTAGAAGCAGAGAAGAAATATTCAGCATCTCCATGCTCTAGACGTATTTTCCACAACTTTAAAACAACAATTAACAAATTTCTCTCTCACGTGACATCATCTCTTCAAGAAACTGCCAGGGAGAAGGGCCAGAAAGGCTGTTTTACCTGACTTCCCTCTCTCCGCCAAAAGATGGCTGGCTGAGGGTTCCCAGTAGCTTCGCACTGGAAAGTCACTGTCCTCCCCAGTGCAGCTATCTGATCGCGGGGCTTGACAACGAACTGCGGAGGCTCTGAAAGGGAAACACCAGGCAAAACATACATCACACTACTATCAGAAGACCAAAGTTCACCCATCTGAAAGCACAATTTGACTACTGACTTTAACAGAATAGTTAAATTTCTTTAACAAGGAAGGCAGCACAGCCACATCAGCCTCTGCACAGGCACAGCCAGCGCCACTCAGATCCTCTTTTCTGCTGCTGAACTTCCCAATTAAAAAACAAACTCTCACTGTGCATCACGTGCTTTTATTACTGACCACTTACTCAAGGAAGTTACGTCCCCCTGACTTCATGAGACAACTTGCAGAGCAACAGCCACCAACACGAACAGATTTATTAACAGCTTGTGTTTTAAAGGAGGAGTGTGGCTACAAGTCAGAATGGAGACATCTTGGAGGGACAAATGGCCTAGAGGCCACACTTTGTCAAGGCCTGCAGTAAACACTGTTGAGTAACTATGAATTCAGGCTTACATTCACAAAAGGCATTATCTTTGCTTTAGGAAAGTTGAGGAGAGCAAAGGCCCTTAATTGTTTATGTAAGAGACTTTTGATGTAGTTGAGGCCTCAAAAAAATTGTAAGACAGAAGCCCCAGAAATACTATTGAACAAAACATAACCACTTAAAACCTTGAGTCCAGTTACTCAAGAGGAATATATTTAAAGGAACAGCAGAGCTAAATGCCTTCCTTATTTACATAGGCAAGGGCATGTTCAAACAAAATATATATGCAAATGAGGACAAATTTGAAACATCTGCTCAGACTAACATTATAAATACTGCCAGCACTGTCCAAATTGTTTCATTTATACAGACTTCAACAAGCCCTTCATCCAGTAGTAAATAGAATGTCAAAAATTCATGTCAGTCACATTAAAAAAAAAAAATCAACATAGATGACAGCATTAGGTATTTTGACAGGGCTAGTACAGAAAATAATCCAGCTTGTTTTATAGACTGTTTACTCTCGCTTCTTGAAAAACATGCATTAAATGAAAGTCCATTTACTTATTCATTTCCAATTCCTTCTGATCATCTGTCCAAAACTAATTATGGTCTCCCTATTCTTTGGGCTGAGAATAAAGGGAATGTTTTCAATATGACTCTAGTAGCTCAAATGTCTTAGGTGTTGATTTATTTTTTTCAAGTATTTCTGTATTTTTAATATTATCCTTTAAAAAGCATGTGATTTATATAATTCAAATGTATCACTCACATGTTTTATAAACATCAAGTAATTGTGGCTTTATCCAGAATGAATTCAGTAACACTCAAAAGTCCTTTCTAAAAAAACTGCTTTTAGTGTTCCGGTGGGCCAGTACTTTCAGTTATCTGTTCTTCTTGCCCTGTGTCTCTGATCCCTATTGAGTTCATGTTAGGACACACCCTTCCAACGACCCTCCTGCTTTGGGGGGAATTTTTAAAGTATATTATGTCAGTATTTATATTTGGAAGCAAATGCTACCTTTCCTAGAATTTCCTTAGATAAGGAACTACCAAAAGTAAAGGTGAGATTGACCCACAGTAATTATCAGACTCCAAACCCTTTAGCTCTGAAATTTTTCATCAATACCGTGGAAAAAGGTGTGGGAAGACTTAGACGTGACAGCACGTTTAATTCACAACAGAAGGGGAAACTGTTGGGGGTTTGCCACAGGGTTGTATGGTATGAAGGGGAGAATGGAGATGAGGGTGAAGCACCCTGGTTATGCTGTTGGATTCTAACAAGAATAAATTTAGCATTTAGTAAATTAAGGTCTTGGATGGCTCTGGACTAGTCTGTGACACAATGCCACACAAAAAGGAACTGTGTTTTTCTAAATCCTGTGCTAGAACATAGTTTTTATAAGATTGCAGATTTCAATGAACTTGAGAATCCATACAGCTACAATGACATTAAAATGGTTTTGGCAATCAGAGAAATAGCTGAATGCTTTTGATTCTAGTACCTGAAGATGACCATTCAGGGACTACTGAATACAAAAAATGAGGAGAAATTCAGTGTATCAGATACCCATGGTAAAATTTATAAAATGTAAATAGGAATATGTTTCTCTAGATATTATTCTAAATATGTATTTTTATATATATATTATTCTAAATCTATATGTGTATTATGCATATGTGTATTATTCTAAATCTATTGCCATTAAGGCAAATAATAAAAATCCTATCATCTTCAGTGTCAGAAGAATTAAAACAGGGTTAAGTGAAACCTTGTTATTAAATTTCATTCAGTGTTCACTGCATGGAAGCCTTTTCACTGTCCTTTTTTAAACTGAAGTTTGCTTTCACACCTTGGGTCAAGTATGTATGGCATGTGATGAATACACTGTAAAAGATGCTAAAA